CTTTCAACACACCTAAAGCGATTCAAATAAATCTGTATCATTAGTATGTTTTGTGGGTTTTTTCTAAAATTTAAGGTAGGAGTTCTAGCGGGGCACCAGAGAAAACGAATTCTTCTTGATACGAAGTGAAGAATTAAAAATTTCTGAGAAGAATTAAAAATTTCTGTTACAGAAATCTAATAATTTTTGAAGTTTAAAAATGTTTCAATTTCGAGAGAACTTTATTCAGTTTTTTCGGACAGAAATCAAAAAGTGGTCAACGCTCATAATGTTTCGCAAAATATCGTAGATATATAGGCTCAAAGTGGACGATCCGGGTGTCGTTCTATTAGAGGTTTTACGGTAATTCACTATTCGTCGCTTCGCTCCTCTGTCTTACTCAAAGGGTCACGTCAACTTATATTTTATTTCAATTTTTTCAACGTGAGCGGACAAACAGAGTAACAGAGAAAGAGACGCAACTTAATTTATTTATTACAAGAACGACTACGAAACAAGTAGAATAAGTTCTGAAGCTTTTAACAGATTGTGAATGATTCAAAATCAAGAATTAAACGCTTCAAAAATATTGAAGATTCTTTACGTTTTTGCAACAGAATTTTTCAAAAATTTCCAGATTAACACAACTTCAACAACATGTCTCTCGGGAACCAATCCACCCACATTCAACAATAAATCCATTACCAGCTCAGCTACACTTAAAGCCAAAAATTTTAACGGACCGATCCGTTATAATTATACTATATCGTTTGGAAATTCTTTATGGACCTTCAGTTTTACAAATAAGTCTATTGGATCTGAAAATACACAAAATTCCAGACAAGATGTATAAAGAACCAATTGTCTAGGACCATTTTGAGCCGAGTTATGATCACTTAAAGTTAGAAGAGACGCAGAGAAGCGAGAGTGCTCTCGCTCCCCTGCGTCTCTCACACCAAAAACTTCATAACATCATAACTCGGTCCAAAATAGTCGTAGCAACTTGGTTCTTTTTGTGCTCTGATTAGAATTTTGTCTATTTTCAGAATACATAAAATTTCAGGCAAGACCGCGTGTTCAGGTTACCACCATTATAGACAACGAGGTGACGGCTATTGCGTGATGTTGATGGGATCTCATTTTCCAAATACTGCTAACGACGCTATCAAAAATTGTACAAAACTGTACAAAGATTCATTGGGTGGAGTCGCCAGTGATGCCGAGATGACAGCTATCAGAACAATGTTATTGGAATACAGAAACTCTTTTAAGTCTAATGATTTTGTGGTGACGGTGGATGGGAAAAGAACCGACACGTGTCTGAAGACACCGAAAACAAAGACCTGTATGAGTGTGAAGGTGAGAAGGTCCGAAAATTCTGAAAATAAACGAAATTCTAGATTAGACGCAAAAGGAATCAAGTTTCTAGGTCTACTTTGAACCGAGTTATAGGCAATTGTAGTGAGAGACGCAGAGAAGCGAGAGTGTCTGCGTCTCTCACCTGCAGGTTAAAAACGCCGTAACTAGGCTCAAAATAGCGCTAGAAACTTGGTTCTTTTTGTACTCTGACCAGAATCTTGTCTATTTTCAGAAAATACAACTAAAATTGTAGGGCTTCACATTCACCGATCCAACAATGACAACATTGGATGGATACACATGGAAAACCAATTCCGGTGCACAATCAACACCAGATTCCAATTGTATTGTTCTGGTTGTGAATGGGACAAACGAAATTGTAGCGGATATTGATAGGTAAACAATACGGTAGAGCGCATATGCAAACCTATTTTTCCAGCTGTGACACGAAAACCAGTCTTCAGCCAATTTCATATCTTTGTGGGACGCCTGCATGGACATGGGAGGAGCCTTGAAATGTTAAAAAATACAGTTTCAAGTTTTTCATAAAGGAATTGATTAATAAACTGATTTGATTGTGTACCTAAAAACTCTCAGAAACTGGTAAAAATGAAATTCTCAAATTATTAAATTATTGTATTGATTATGAACTTTAATCAATGTTGCCTCATTTCCTGTGAAAGATATCAAAAAGTGGTCAACTGATAAAATGTTTATCGTAATATCAGTTACATTTTATCAGTGGACAACTTTCTGATACCTCTTACAGTAACGGAGAAAAATAGTCTTAAAGTTGGTGGTCCTTCTTGGCAATTTGGCTCAAATTGAAAGTGGGGTCAAACATCTTATTTTTCAAAGAGATCAAAAATCTGAATATTTCTCTTTAAAAACTACTATTAGCCACAATAATATAACCCACATCATCTAATAGAGGACTAAAACTCAAAAATTGTCAAATTAGGGGTTTTTTAGAAAATTCCAAAACTTGTGAGACTACGAAAAAGTTGTAGTCTGTGAAGATTGGGATCACTTTTTTACTTTTACTATTCCGAAAAAAATTTTGCTGTTTCGAATATGTTAAATTAGGCAAGAGAAGTTTTAGCGTTAATTATGTGATTAAAGTTAATGTGATTAATTATTTTTTATTAAATTATCACTGAAAATCCTTAAATCTATTGTTTCTCGCATTCCATGTTCTATTTTATTGATATATTTTTAGCACCAAAGATCTGGATTATTTTTGTGTTACGCAGTATTAAATCTGATATTTTTTTTTCATTCCAAGAGACAAAAGAGAGAAAACTATACATTTTATTTTTTAGAAAATTTTCCCTGTTTCAAATTTTCTGAGAACTTTAAATATATAAGATCAACAAATTCATTTTATTTTTATTCCTTGCCCATGATTTATTACTCAATTATCGCCAAAGAACCAGATCAAATAACTAAAAACGCCTGAAAAATAAATAGGTGTCAGGTGTAACAAATTTATTAGTCTGCACATTTTATGGGAATTTGTTTTTTGAGGAACTAGAATTTTGCGATTTTAGAAAACCAGAAATTCGCACCATTCTCTGAATAACTTATAATGACATTTATGAACTTTTTGGAACTGAAAAAATCTTTGAAACTCAAAATTCGAATCGCAATTTTTTTTTGAATAGAGCGAGGTTTAAGGCTTCCATTCGGCCGGGAAATTTAGCCGACCGACCGACAACCGAGCTTACCGATAGGACGGCACCTGACCAATCGGTCGGCGCGCAGACTTTTCGTGCATTTGTGCGTCAACGTGTTTGCATACGCAGCACTGTTTTTTCCGACAAAACTACTCACTAAATCCCTCGTTTGTCGTAAAATACAATGGTGCGCATGCAAATAA